ACTTTAGCTATCTCTAGGTCACTTGATAAATTTTCATAAGTCCTCTATTGTCTGTTTTTCAAAATGGCCCTTGCTTCAAAAAGAAGAAATTTAGCTAGCTATATTAAAAATGACTCCATAGTCTTTTTTGGTTAGATATTTGGGTGTTCTATTCACATCCCGTTCATTTTTGAACCATAATTTCCAACATTTATTTAAAGACACAAGGCTAGGAAGGCATTCCTCAACCAAGTAACCTTGAAGTAGTGTTTTACCTTCTTTTTCCATGTCTATTGTATGTTTTCCAATGCAAAGAGTATTACTATTTCCCTTAATTAACCAAATTAAAAGAAATTTCTTCTAGAAATAGTCACCACAAAATATGGGATGGATTCTAGGGGTGAGCATGGTTCAGATATTCGATCCGAAACTGGATTTCAGATCGGATATCCGCATTCGAAAATTCCTATATTTGATATCCGTATTCGATCCGAAATTTTCGGAAATTTGAAAATCGGTTAGCTAGGATATCCAATATCCAATCCTTTAATTAATATTGATTTAATACTAAATTAAGCTCTTAAAGGCATTAATTTTTTCAAAATATTAACCCACAAAAATCAAATATTAACGCATACTAATTATGATGAACAATCAAATGTATATTAACCCACAAATTTAAGAATCTAAAGTCAACTAGAAAATGATGAACAATAAGTTAGAAGTAGATCTTAACCAACTCGAGTAGAGAAGAGAGAATTATTTTTAAGCTTAATTTTTTTTTATTTGCCACACAACAAATTCAAGGAACAAATTGGGGTCAATTTGAAAATCAAAATCATGAGTAGCTGAAAGTGCAAAAATGAAGGAAAAACTGAAATTGAATTGGGACGAAAATGAAGAAGGGAACATTGAAATTGAAAAAGGAAAAAGTATTAAAGAAATGGAGAAGCCATGAAAAATAAAAATGAAGATGAAGAAGCTTGATTTTCAATTTTTCAGCCGTGACGAGGAGAGAGAAGCCGCCACTGCCACTTGCCGGAGAAATGGAGAAGTCATCGTCGCCGCTGTCGATTTGGGAGTGAGATGACTGAGATCTGAGACTGACGCTGTCAATTTGGGAGGGAGATGAATGAGATCCGAGAGGAGAGAGAGGTGTGGGATTGTGCTTTGTGGGAAATGAATGATTTAGGTTTTCTGTTTAGTGAAAGAGTATTCAATTTTACTATTTTTGTTAAACCTTTTTTTTTCTTTTGTGAGAAGGGTTGAGAAGTGAGAAAGGAAAATTAAGTGATTTTTCGGATATTCGATAACCGACTTTTTTCAAATATCGAATATCAGAAATCCAAAATCGGGCTATCCGATATTCGAATTTTTCAGATCGGATATCCGATCCAAAACCAAATTCGGATCGAATATCCAAAATTTTCGGATTATATGCGGTTCGGATCATCGGATTTTCAAATTTTTAGATAGTTTTACTCAACCCTAATGGATTCCATTGATTTCTCGAATAAATACTGTTTAGGGTAAAAATACCCCTATCCACGTGGACCAATTGCATGCTGACACGTGTCAGCCTCAGAGATGTACTGAAAGAACCAATTCTCTGACGATACGTGGTAGTCCAAGTCATGAAAGGGGAGTTGATTCTCAAACCCTATAAATAGGGAGAGGTCCCCATTTATTGCACATTCAGAAATATCCACACCAATCAGAGCAATATTAATTGCAGATATTCTCTCGGAATCCGACTGAAAACTCTTTACATTCCGTACTTTTAACTCCGTCCATACACATACTAACTTGATTGTCGGAGGCGGAACTCCACCTAACCGGAGTTTCCGTGCACTACTACATTTTTTATCTATTGCAACGGCCTAATAAAGGCTAATACAACGGTATTTTTATTGTCGTTGCAATGGAGTAGGCTGTTGCCACGGAGTTAAAACTAATGCTCTTAGAGGTAGAGTTATTGCCACGGCTTTAAAGAACCGTTGCAATAGCCTAGCTATTTTAACAAAAATGAAAGCTAATGCAACGGTAGTGTTGTATCATGAAAATTTTAGGTAGAAGCGTGCATTGTTCCCTCTAATTTTTTCACCAAAATTTTGAACAACACGTGTTTACTTTTCTCACCCATTTTCTCCACTCATTCTCACAGTACCCATTCTCACCCAATTTCTCCATTTTCTTAATTTCCCCCAATTCTCCATTTTCTCAATTTCCCCCAATTCTCTGTTTTCCCCATCATCTCACATTCACATATTTGCTTCAACTCCAGAATCACTTCAAAATTCTGAGGTGAAAAATCACAAAAAAAAATCATTCAAAAATTCGAAGAGGAAAATAAGCAAATAATTATGAGGAAGTAGTAGACGAAGGCGGCAGTCAGGATCAGAGGTGTGGCTGATAGCGGCAGTCAGGCGGTGGTGGCTGATAGCAGCACAGACGGTCACAATTTCATTGTTGCATGTCCCTTCCTTGAGCTGAATTCTCGAAATTCTGTTCAAGGTAAACAACGAATTTTCGTTTTTGAGAATTAAATTTGAAGTTTTTACTTTTGTGTTTGGGATGAAGTTGAATATTGATTTGGGGTGGCTGATTTGGTTCATTCATGGGGTAAGACTTTAGAGATCCAAGTTTATTACTTTTTTCTAATTGTTATATCCATTATTCAAGCTCATGTGCGTGCTTAGGTTATTTAACTTATTAGATAGGAATATATGATAGTGGGTTTTGGAGGGTTTAAGGAATAGAAAAAGATAAGATTATGTAAATAGGAAGTGAAATAATGGAGCTTGGGTTTGATTTTAAGTCGGAAAAGCGAAAAATATGAAAGACTCTAATTAATTTTGGATTAATTAATTTTTAATTTTAAGTCAAGAAATATGACAAACTCTCTAATTAATTTTGGATTAATCAATTTTGGGGTTCTCGGCTTTATCAATGTAATGCATCAACTTGATTATATTAAGTTCTTGTCAATTATGCTGTGTAGAATTGCAATTCTCTCTCTTGTCTACATTGACAGGTTCAGTTGGGTACTTAGCTTCCTTTCTGATAGTGCCATGATATTTTGGTTTTATCATGTTTTAAGTGGAATGGAATATGTAAGTAATACCTTAACTCTATATCTCACCTTAGATTGATGCATCAGTGAAATTTTAAGGTAGCTTATTAGTTTAAACAACAAATATTTAAACATGGAGGACCAATTGGTTGATATCATGTTCTTTCTAAAATTAAAAAAAGAAAAGACATGTATGTTTTACCATTATTTCACTTCCTAATTACATAATCTTATCTTTTTCTTTTCCTTAAACCCTCCAAAACCCACTATCATATATTCTTATCTAATAAGTTAAATAACCTAAGCACGCACATGAGCTGTAAATTTCGATTTCTGACTATTTATTTTTTATAATTGGAGGCTTGATCTTCAACTTGACTGACGGTATCAAAGTAAAGGCTTAGGTTTTGACCTGTCCGTCTTAAGATTTGGTACAGAGCAACCCACTTTTAAAGATCCATATCCTGAACTAGTTCACCACCAATATGGTACGACCCTATGGATATGGTCTGGGGCTCATAGATTTTTTTGCTCTCTTGGGCGTCTCTTATGCAACGAGGCATTTGATATATGCAACACTTCTCCCATGATTTTCTTGTAATAAATTGCCGGGCCTCATTGAGTTTTTCCTGTATGGATATAACCCACTCTAGTTTTTCTTGAGAATTCATTTTTCTAGAGGTTGCTACTTTTCAATCTTTAGTGAAGATCAACCAATATATGCAAATGATGTCTAAAAAATGTTACAAGAATGATGTTTTCATGTGAATCATGTAACAGTATGTGGTTAAACTACATTAATAGTATATCTGTATTTTTTTTGCTGCTTCTGTGTGGGGCTAATTGCGCTTGATTAAAGTTAATGCTCAAGATTCAGGTCAATTGTAATTATTTTTTTAATGATTTAGTAGTTTCGCTTCTTAAGAAAAGACATGAAACATACTAGGCAATTACTGAGTAAAAGTTCGCAGCTGGTGGTTTGGTTTTGAAAAAAAAAACATCAGGAAATTTCAGATCTCTTTCCTTTAGAGCTGACTTGGTCAATGTAAGTCGTATTTAAGTTAAACTGAGTGAGCTCAACTTACAGCCTAGCAAAAGAATCCTGTAAGTTTGTAACAGTCAGTTGAGTTGAGTAAAAGTTGGAGAATCTGCTATATATCTCCTCCATACGTTGTGTTTAAATGCTTTCAGAATTTGTAGCTCTGAATCTTGATGGGATATGATGACTAGCACTGCATATGCGTTGGAGTTGATCAAACTGGAACTGTTTTAATACAATCAAATACAGAACACACATCTATGTCCATCTACATTTAGTCGTTTACCTTTTATGGCTGTATTTTGTGTTTATGCTTTTTTTCACATGAGTATATTTATTTATGAATCCTGGACAATACCCATTCCTTGTACCAGCAACTAAGAAATCTCAAATAACTGTCTTTTGTTATTTCCTTTGATGGGTTAGGCATTTTTACTCCAATGTGCTCTCTTATTTGCAAATATGGTTTATCTTGATTTGTATTGTTTATTTGATGGTGGCTCTTAAAATACTAGAAGAATGATTATGCTTTGATATGGGTTCTCCCTTAATATTATTAGTTTTAGGCTTTTTAACTCTCCTAGCTAATTACACTTGCCTCTTTTTAACATCTCATTTCTTTTTCATTGTTACTAGATTAATGTAAAGTGGGACATAAATTTGTATGAATATAACTTTGATACTCCTTGCTTATTACACTTGATAAAGTTATCCTTGGCAATAGAAATACACTAGTTTTAAATATATTGATTTTTAGAGTAGTTATCTTTCTTCCTAGTGGTCGTAAAGCAGATTTTATTGTCAATTCTTTCTAATTGATTAAAGTAAATATCTTAATATAGTGAATTGATTAATTGTTTTTACTTTAAAAATTAATTAAAGTAACCCTCTTAATTCTTATCCTAAGGTATGGATAGTAGAACTAAAGAGTGGTGGATGTTTGCCAAATGGAGTGATGAATATGAGCGGGGAGTAGATGAATATGTACAAAAGGCTTTTGCTTTTAAGTCTCAAGGAAATCAAATTTGTTGTCCTTGTGCAAGTTGTCATTATTGTTTTTGGCGTCATGAAAGTGTTGTGAGAGATCACCTTATTTGTAATGGTTTTGTTCCTCGAACGGATAAGTTATCAGAGTTAGGGATCAACATTATCATTGAAAGGGAACAAACTATTTTGGATAATGATGAAGGGTCAAACCCAAATGATTTTAATGATAACATAGTAGGGTTGTTGCATGATGCACAAGATGCTTTTATAAATGGGCCAAATGACGAGGCAAAAAAGTTTTATAAGTTAGTTGAAGAGGGCCAGGAAGAATTGTATGTCGGTTGTAAAAATCATTCAAAACTTTCCTTCATGATCCGACTTTTTATTTTGAAGTGTGATCATAAGCTAACTAATGCTGCTTTTGGAGATATATTGGAGCTTATAAGGGAGGTGTTACCTGATGCAAAACTGTCAGCTTCTTTTAATGAAGCAAAAAGTGTTTTGAAAGTGTTGGGGTTGGATTACACTAAGATAGATGCATGCCCAAATGATTGCATGATATACTGGGAAGAGCATGAAAATGCAACAAGCTGCCATGTTTGTGAGACGCCAAGATGGAAATCAACTGACACAGAGAATGGCATACAAAATGAAAATGGAAAGACGTATAGGATTCCTCAAAAGATTCTTAGGTACTTTCCAATAAAGAAAAGGCTTCAACGGCTATTTATGTGTCAAGAGACGGCGAGATACATGACTTGGCATGCTAATGAGCATGAAAATGATCATCTTTTACATCATCCAGTTGATGGTCAAGCTTGGAAGGAATTTGATTCTTTATATCCAAAGTTTGCTGAAGACCCACGCAATGTGAGGCTTGGGTTAGCCACAGATGGATTTAGCCCGTTCAACTCAATGAGCATTGTCCATAGTACATGGCCAGTTATGTTGATTAATTATAACTTGCCTCCTTGGATGATTATGAAGCCCGAGTATTTGATGCTAGCCTTACTGATTCCCGGCCCGTCTTCCCCTAGCAATGACATTGACATGTATTTGCAGCCACTTATTAAGGACTTAAAGGATTTGTGGGAGTTTGGGTTGGAAACTTATGACGCTTCGACTAATCAAAGGTTTGACATGCATGTAGCATTGATGACTACTGTGAGTGATTTTCTGGGTTATGCAATGTTGTCTGGGTGGAGCACAAAAGGATACTTGGCATGCCCTGAATGTCATTACGAAACAGATTTAGAGTGGTTGCCTTGTAGTGGTAAGAATGTGTATAGGTCAAATCGTAAATTTTTGGATCCATCTCACCCTTGGCGTCATGATAAGAGGAATTTTGACGGAAAACTTGAGGAAAGATGTCAACCTATTCCATTGAATGGAATTGATATTGAGAATATGTTGCGTGATTTTCCAAATGCATTTGGAAAGAAGCAAAAGAAACCAAGGCGTGATGTGGATGATCCGACTCCGTGGAGAAAGAAACCCATATTTTTTGAGTTGCCATATTGGAAGCATTTCTCTAATCGCCATAATCTTGATGTAATGCATATTGAGAAAAATGTCTTTGATAATGTCATTGCGACATTATTAGACATTTCTCAGAAGATCAAGGATAATGTGAGTGCTCGTCGAGATTTGGTAGAACTTAATCTGATGCCAGAGCTCCAACCAATAGAATTGGAAGATGGTAGTGAAGAATTTCCAAGATCTCGCTTTTGGATGTCATTGGAGCAAAAGTGTAAGTTCTGCCTGGTTATAAAAAATGCTAAGCTTCCTCAAGGTTATGCTTCCAACCTTAGTCGTTGTGTGCAAGTTGGAAAAAGGAAAATAGCAGGCTACAAAAGCCACGATGCTCATTTTATGATGAATTATCTTCTTCCAATTGCTGTGAAGAAAACATTACCCAAAGATGTTGCTAGTCCTTTGATAAGACTTTGTGCTTTTTTCAAAGGTATATGGAGTAAAACTATTGATCCTCGAGGTCTTGGAAAATTGCAATCCGAGATAGTTGAAACTCTATGCCTACTTGAGAGGATTTTTCCACCTACTTTTTTTTATATAATGGAACATTTACCCATACACTTAGTAGACCAAATTAAGTTGGGTGGACCTGTGAGTTCAAGGTGTATGTATGGAATTGAGAGGAATCTTCATGAAATGAAACAAGATGTTGGAAACAAGGCTCGCCCAGAAGGCTCAATGGCAGAAGGATACCAAGCTAAAGAATGTGTTGCTTTCATAGCTAGATTTTTGAAACGATCAAGCAAAGCCACACCCGAAGTTAATGAGTGTGGTACCTCAAAATCATTTTTCCCTAAGGTAGGACGTCCTATCAAAGGAAAAGGAAGGACCTCAAAGAAAAAAAATCGTGGACACATAATTGATCGCATTACATGGGCACAAGCGCATCGTTATGTCTTGTTCAATTGTGATTGTGAAGAAGTTGAGAAATATATAAGGTAAGATTTGTAACCATAATGTAGGTTTATTATTATTATTATTATTATTATTATTATTATTATTATTATTATTATTATTATTATTATTATTATTATTATTATTATTATTATTATTATTATTTAATGTTTTCATTCTAACTCTGTCGCCTTAGTAAGAAAAATATTTTATTTTTATAGTGAGCATAAGATTTTTGTAAGTGCTAAAAGGAAAAGAAAATGGAAAAGTGCTCAAGACCATAGCAAGGATTTCATGGATTGGTTTAGGGAGAAAGTTGATTTGATTCTTAAACAAGGCCATGATAATATCCAGGACCATATTTTGTGGTTATCAAAAGGTCCCTCTTATGTTGCCAAAAAGCACACAGGGTACTCAGTTAACGGCTATAGGTTTCATACCATGAAGCAAGATGCAAACTGCGTAACTCAAAACAGTGGCGTCACTCTAATAGCCACTACACATAGCTTGCAAGCTCCAAAGATCAAAATCCTGTTGTGGGAAATGTTAATTATTTTGGTTCAATAACTGAAATCATTGAGATATCCTATCATGGTCATTTTAGTGTTGTCTTATTTAGATGTCAATGGTTTCACTCAGAAAAGGATGATGATGAGCTCATTACGGTTAATATGAATAAGACCGTTTCTAAAGAGGAACCTTTTATCTTAGCAAATCAGCACATCAAGTGTTTTATGTAGGAGATTTGAATAGAGAAAGGTGGCATTATGCTATTCAAATCCCTCCTAGAGAGTTTTAGATGGTATTAACATACATTTTTTTAATACTTCACTATATGTTATAAATGAGCTTATTTTACATTGCAATTCGTTTCAGTTTATTGTATTTACATACAAAATTAACATACTTCCATTTTTTTTCCAGATGAAACGGAGTAGACCCAAAGTTGCTGCTTCCAAAAATCAGCTTACAGAATATGAGCTGCAACGGCTTCAAAAACTAAAATTCAATGCAGAAAGAATGGAAGCCTTAGGATCGGCATCTCTTGCTAATAAGATTCTTGAAGACAAAACAAAAGCCTTATTTTGTCCAAGTGCAATGCAGTACACCAGAAAATGAGGATGATGCCTCTACGTCAGAATATGATGGTGAAAATGAGGTTGAAGCTGACAATCTCACTTCTGGAAAAAGAAAAGCCAGTAAACAGATCTGTACTTCTATTTTTTCATTTATACAGACTGGTTTTATTGTTTATCACGGTTTACATGTAATTAGTAATGCTTTATTTTCCTTTTGTTTTATAGGTTTCAAAGCAAGTAAATAAATCATCACTTCGCCCCAGAACTATGGCTGATGTTGTGGAAGTGAATAGCCGTAAGAAGCATGCAGTTGATGAAGTTCAGAACATTCACTCACTTAAGGTTGCTAGAGTTCAAGATCAATGCATCCAAAAGAAGGAGCAAGTTATCTCATAAAAGAAGGGATCAAAACTAGTGTTCTGTTCTCCTGGTTCCATGTCAGCGTACCTCGAGTTCCGAAAAAAGCAAAAAGAAAATAATAAAGCGTTTGTAGCATGTAATCAGTCATTGAATGATTCTCTTACAAGAAACCTAAGGATTTGTGGCACTGCATTTAATGAGAATGACAATGATGATGCAGATTCATTAAGTGAGAATGATGAAGCGGATGCACTAAATGAGAATAATGATGATGTTGGTAATGAATATGAGGGTGATCAAGAATTAGAAGATGAAGTTCTATCTAACTATGGAAGGGAAGGAATGCAAGGTATTGTTTTTCTCTTACTTCCTCCCCAGCTACCTCTCCCTCTTGTTCAGTCCCTTAGCTGTTTTTCCTTTCTTTTTTCCTTTCTTTTTTCCTCCTGTTTTATGTGTTTTCCATCTACATGGGGATTTTTTTTGAATTTTCTGCCAAAGATTTGCTCCAATTAAGTTGCATCCTGTAGCTAATTTTGGGTCTAACAATCTAACATGCAAATTCTTCTATGAAAATGAGGATAAACAAGCAAATTAGATGGGCACTTTCCTGTTTTCAAGGCTAATAAGGTATTTTAGATAGCTTGTGTCCTCCCACCGCATTGCAGTTTGGTTCCCATCTTCCTTTTTCGGGTTGGTTTTTTTTACATGGGCCATGGGCCATTGGTCAAGCCTTGTTAAAATAAGTAGATGTCTTAAGCTTAGCTGAACTACAACCATTTTGCTGTTTCTATTGCATTCTAGGTAGGGCAAGATATTTCTAGCCTTGCTTGTGTTATGGTGCATCTGGTAGTGAGGAGGTATGTGGCAGTTAAATGTAGGTATATGTACAATCAATACATAAGGTAATTTATAATATATTTAAGTGTTGCAATGTTAGAGATATTATTATACTTCGCTGATTATATTCTTGGTGGGTCTTTGCATTTTACATATCGTGGATATTATGAGATTTGGTATGCAAGATCAGTATGAAAGAAATTGGAGTTTCTTGAGAATCTATGTTTCTTATATTTTAGATTTTTGGTAGTGGAGCTGCTGGTTTCCCATTCTTGTGATTTTTAGGGTTTATTACTTGATATTTGTTAATCAAATGGTGATATGTTATTTGGGAAGAATAGTGGAAATTTCACCTACTGTTTGTGAGATATGAGTCTCTCTGTAGTCGTACGAATTCTAGCCTAAAATTTATTTAAAAACTCAGTTTTGTGGGAGAGTTAGATCTCATTTAGTGATAAGTATTCGATTTTTATTTAGTCAGGCTCTATGGATGATGTTTGTTCATTTGTTGTCATGTTTTTGAGTCATCAAAAATCAAAATGACTCTTAGATATTGTATTATTTAACATCCAATGGGATGTAATCTGGAGAAAAGTTTGTCCAACTTCCAGGAAAATAGTGGTTTCTATACTTAATTACATTTCTATTGAATATATCATCCTTCTTTTAGGTGAAGTATGGTCAAGATGGATATAAAAAAAGGCCACCAGTCTTAGTAATGACTGATTTCACAAGGCAGACCTCTTAGGCTCATTCAGTTTGTCCAAGAACCTCCTCATTCAGTTTGCATTTTCGTTATTATAGTATTTAGTTGATTTATTTGCAACCTCTATCTTGTAGCATGTTTCTTACAAATGTGTACACAGAAACAGAACCTGAAAAAGCTCCTACCAGAAAAAGGCATTGAGGTCCAACAATGCTACCCAAGGTTCATGCACAAACAAGAGACGAGCGTGAAGTTATTGTTTTAAACTCATTGGGCCAACCGGTTGGAACTACACGGGAAATTGTTCAGGAGTTCAATTATATTAACTTTCCAAGTCTACCCACACTTGACAAAATGTGGGAGTATGTCCAAGTACGTAGTATTATAATTGATTTTTTTGGATTTCATTTTCTACATAATTAATTCCTCGTTAATAATTGGACCGCCATATGCTACATACATGTTACATACTAATGTTTTATTTTCATGATTTATTTAGGAAAAATATATGGTTCCTGAAGCTGGAAGAGAATGGGTGATGCAGGCTATCAATGGAAGCTAGAAAGCTCATAAATGCTTTACTAAGAAGAACTACTTCTCTGCATATCCCACAAATGCTTTACGATGGTTTCATAAGCCAGACACAATTTGAGAACCTCAATTTAGAGAGCTTTTGCAATACTGGCATTCTAAAGAGGCTGAGGTATTATGTATATGGTTTTGAGCTGTTTTTGTGCAATATTGACATAGTTTCATGACCAAAAAATTCACTCTTTCAGTTTATTGTTTTTATGATCGCCTTTGTTTTCAGGAGCTGTTTTATGATCGCCTTTGATGCAGGCTATCAATGGAAGCTAGAAAGCTCATAAATGCTTTACTAAGAAGAACTACTTCTCTGCATATCCCACAAATGCTTTACGATGGTTTCATAAGCCAGACACAATTTGAGAACCTCAATTTAGAGAGCTTTTGCAATACTGGCATTCTAAAGAGGCTGAGGTATTATGTATATGGTTTTGAGCTGTTTTTGTGCAATATTGACATAGTTTCATGACCAAAAAATTCACTCTTTCAGTTTATTGTTTTTATGATCGCCTTTGTTTTCAGGAGCTGTTTTTATAAATCTTGATTTTGTTTTCACGTAGGAAATCAATAAGATCAACAAAGACGATCGCCAAATGTTAGATGATATGCATACTATGGGCCGTAACTCTTACGCAATTTTACGTCATAAGTTGGTAAATAATTCATCTCATTTCTAGGAAATTTTATTAACTTTATAATCTTTATTTTACAATCACTACATGTACTACATGATGCTTTCACCCCTGTCCTTTAATTATTTGTAATAATCACTTCAATTTTATGTATTCATGTTTCCACATCAACAACGGGATCTTGATAAGCAAGAACCTTTTCAAGCAAGGGTCTATAAGGAGTCAAGAAAAAGAACGGTGGGAAGGAAATACCTTACTAACCATGAAAAAATAGAAGAGAATATTGTGAGTTAACCTTTTAGATGTATGTTATATTTGTTTAATTTTGATAAATAATAAGTAGGTGGTTTTATTTCCCTAAATAGGCTAAAATGGATGCTTTGGAGTCTTCCCAACATGAAGATGGTAGTAACTCTAAGGACCCTTACTCTGAAGTGATTCCAGATCCTAAGCGCAAAAGCCGTGTACGCCTACAAGGAAAAGGTGTAAAAAAGTCGGATTTGAAGAAAAAAGATAAAAAGTCATATTTCATATTCCCGACAGAATTTTTAGAAAGTATGCAATCTCAATTAGTACAACAACTTGCACCAAGCGTAACAACTGCAATTTTGACTCAACTTCGGAATGCTAACCCTGGGATCAATCTTGTCATTCCTGATTTTGCAATTCCATTGGCTCCAAAGGATGCATCTAGTGCGCCACATCTTCTTGTTGACCAAAATGGGTAATCTTCTAAATCTGGTGCCACAGTTAATCAAGTAACATAAAATATTTTCTATTGCTTCTCTCTAGATTTTTTTGTTTGCTGGTGACCTGAACCTACTGTTGAAATGTTGCCGCTGTTGATGTCTTTTTCTGATGCTCACTATTGCTTTATTTCTTTTGTTTTTTTTTTCTTTATATGGTTGATGCTTTAGTTGTTTGCTGCTGCTTTTTATTTTTGTATGTTTTATTTTGCTGAGTTCATGCTTCTTATAGCCTGCTGCATCTCTAAATTATCAATCAATAAGGACATGATTCTTGAGTTAGATTCTTGAATTACTACTCGTACTTTCTGTGTTCGTCATACTACTTGAAATCGTACTACTTGAAATAGCTGCGCTCATCATCTCTAGAGAGTCTTTAGCTGAACTAGAACTTTCTGTGTTCATCATATCCACACACTCTTTAAGTTCTGTCACTATTTGAGTCATTGTTGGCCTATCTGCAATTTCTAGCTGAATACATCTCACTGCTAGTTCTACTGCTTTCCACACAGTGAGATAGTTCTACTGCTAGTTTTGGTCTAGTGTGCTGGCTATATCCCCTCTTTCAAGCACGCTCCTAACCCATTGACCCAAGTTCATGACTCTGTTTACTATTGTTGTTTTCCCTGTGATTAGCTCCAACAGAATAACCCCAAAGCTGTAAACATCGCCTTTTTCATGCACATGTCCTGTTAATTAATTATACCTGTAATAATCATTATGGCATAAAAGTTTTAGCCCACTTCAATTAGTAGTGTGCAATGAATTACTTTGGTAAAAGAGTGTTAGAATATGTAAGATAGTCATGTATGAATGACTGAAATGGCTCACTTACTAAGGATCAAGATAGCCTAGTGTTCCAACAACCCTTGTTTGTAAATTTGAAACATAGTTTCATGACCAAGAAAGTTAGAAAACTTGAATGGAAAAGTGTACACATAATTTATTTCTCACTAGTAGACATGAACTACAAAGCCCACTCATCATTTATACAAAGCCACCCAAGCTTTAAGCCACAAGCTCAAGTTGGTCACATAAATTTCACAATTGATTTCAGCATCAAGATACCAATTCAGCAATATAATTCATTTCCACAAGGTAAAAAAGAGAGACTTGACCTGCAGTCCTACAGATATTGGTGGAAAGCAGCAGAACTGCAGTTTTAAGTATAGGA